TACAGATAGTTGTGAGTCATGTATGGATGATAGGAATTGAACCTTTGTCCTCTAGAGGAACAGCCAGTGCTCTTAACCACAGAGCCATCTCTCTAGTCCCAAGAGCACTTAGTTTTTACGTTTCCTTTTTGATATGCTCTGTTTCTCTTACTTTTTCTTTTTCTTTTCTATGTGGAGTTTTGGATGCCTTTCCTAGACAAGGTGACTGCATTTTTTCTTTTTTTGTTCTTTCTTTCTTTCTCTTTTTTTTTTTTTTTTTTTTTTTGAGATTTTATTTTTATTTTATATGTATGGGTTTTGCCTGAGTGTATGTCTGTGCACCATGTGCCTGCAGTGCCTGAGGGGGTTGAGGGTAACTTCAAACATGTCAACCTGGTCTGTCTCCTTGTGTTGTCAGGCCCTGGCTCACCTAAGCTCCCTACTTCTCCAGCCATCTCATAGCCAAGGGAGTTTGCCTGTTTGTGCTGGAACCGTCTCCCCGTGCCTTTCCTGTAGTTACAGACTTTCTGATCATCCTCTTCATCCCAAGGGAAGCTTGTGTCCCTCCCAGAATCCTGACCAGGCCATCTTGATTTGGCCTTCCCTCCTGAAAGCTTCATCGCTTTGAAGGCTGTCAGTAGATGTTGCAGAGAGGAACGAAGGCCTTGCCCGCATCCCATCCCTCTCTGGGATGAACTTGTTCTGCTCTCTGCCGAGTCAGACTGTAGCTTTATGAGGTCAGAAGAGCGGAGTCTCAGGCATGTGGCTGCTCCTGCAGATGAGGCACACTGGTCCTGGCCACTGTCGTTTCCATGAAGTGAACCCTTAGTATTTTGTCAGCTAAGAATGGAAAAATAGCAGTAAGGCATCACTCACCCAGGGAGGCTGAACGCTTCAAAGCTCAGGGCCTGCATGCAGCCGGGCTTGCTGGATTTGCTTCCAAACTTTGTGGCTGTGGGCAAGAGGCATTGGCCCCTTTGGGGCTCAGTTCCCGTCACTGCTTACTTGTCGTTTCTTTGACATCTCAGTGAGGACAGTGTAGAAAGCACTTAGAACAGTGCTGGCACCAGTGCTTGCCCCAGCCCTTACACTCTCCCTCAGCTCGCCCTGCTTCCTTAGAGAGATCATGTGGCTGTCGACTCACAGTACCATGTGATGTCCTGCCCTCAGGAGAATCACAGTCCATTCTCCAGTTCACCATCTAGAAAAGGACATGAGAGGGAGATTTGCCATTCAGGCCTGGGCCTAGACAGCATGTGGGTTCCGTGCTTGAAGGGCCTGGGGGGAGGCTTGGAGAGGCACGGAGAGTGCTAGGAATTTCTCATCCAGACCTTTCCATTGCGTGCTCTCTACTTTCTCTTGTACGTGAAGTGCCAGGAGGCCACAGCAGGCTGCCCTGTTTTTGTTAATGCCGGGGAAGGACAAAGTGCTGCTTGGATGGTCTTCCATGCCTAGCAGTAGTCATGGCTCAGAGAAGAATGGTGACGGGAGCAGCCCACCAGTCAGCTTCCCAAGGCTGCACTCCTAACAAACCTCAAGCAGGAATGGGCTTTGAACCCAGATCCAACTCACTTTTAGCTACTCTTGGGCTCTGGGTGCTGAGCCACCGAGAGGTCTTGAACCACCCCCTCCATGGTGATCTGTGCCTGGGCTGCTGCCACGGAGCACCGAAGAGCACCAGGCAGCATTCCACACCCAGGCTGCTGGCCTGAGAGGAGTCATGGGCTTTACGAGCTTTTGCGTTGGCTCAAGGATGCTGTGTCGCAGTTGGGACGAGGCAGTGGGTTTGATGAAAACTGTAGACAGAGCCTGTACTAAGCGTGCACAAGATCTTCACTTTTATCCACCAAACCCAACCAAGCAATCAAAAAAGCCTTGAGATCAAAGATGTTACAGATCCTTTTTGCTAGCCAGGGCCATCAAATCACTTGACCAAAGTCTTGCTTGCTCCTCTGACGTGACAGAGCTGAGATGGAATCCGAGCCTGACAGGTCTCTTTCCTACCGCAGGTCTGGCTGAAGGGGTCTGCTTCTCTTCTAGGCGATTCTCCTTCAGTCTTCCCTGTTAACAGCCTCTGGCCCACCCCCTGGCTTCATTACTGCCTGCCCCCTTCCCTTTCCCATGCTGCAAAGTGGCCTGTGCAGACCGCAGGGAGTCTGCATTTGAGGGGAGCTGGGCAGTCCGGGTTAAAGTGGGTTGAGGAACTGGGTCAAGGGAGGCCGGGGCAGCTCTGCAGTGCAGGCAGGCAGCAAGGCAGAGTGGGGTCCTGTTTGTAACAGGCCTCTTGCCTCGGAGTGTGGGAGAGGCAAGAGCAAAGCCGTCACCGCTGGGTCACGAGGGTGTCACTTGCTTAAATTTCAAGTGTGTTCGTTGTGTGCCTCACGTAGGACCAGTTGGCTACCTATGGCTGCTCTGATGGATTTTCCCCAGGGCAGAGGGGTTACTGGATTCATTTGCTAGGATAGAGGAAACATGGCCTGTCGTAAAATGATGTGACTGCTTTGAACTTGCTTTTGTAAACTAGTGCCGAGACAGTGGCACTGCAGGGCTTGGTGAGCTTGGAGACTGAGATGTCCTTAGGAGAGGAGTGGTTTGCTCTGAAGCCAGTGTGGCTGGTTCTGGAGGATGCCTCAGCCCCAGCTCTGCTTTCTCCTCACACACAGTGTTTCTGAAGGGGCCTCCAGCTGGGCAGCTAGCTACCTGCTAGATGGCTTTCTTTGCTTTCAGTGGGCTCAGGAAAGCAAGAACCAAGAACCCTGCAGTATTATGAGGCTCTTATTCACCACCCTTGTCTGTGTTTCCTTCTGAAACTTGTTTATCTTGAGGCATAAGAGTCCTTTTCTAAAAATTAACTTTGTTATTATTGTGTATGTGAGTGTAGGTATGACATGGCACAGCACACATACATACAGATGTCAGAGGACAACTTTGGGGGGGCGTGCTCTCCTCCCATCATGGATTTGGGGGATCAAACTCAGGTTGTCGGATTTGTGTGACAAGCATTTTTAGGCATTGAGTTGCCTTGCTGGTCTGAATAGAAGACTTTGAAGGACTGCGAAAGCCTGAGGGTGTGTGGTAGAAACTGGCACTGGGGAGGGATTTGGTCTATGCTCTGCCCTTTCTTTGTCTTCTCTCTGTAGCTGCAGGTACCTCCTTAGCTGCCTGGCCTCTAGACACAGACACTCACCAGAGTGCTTCCTTGATGCCTGTGGCCAGTGTCGGAGCCGGCCATGTGGCTCAAGTTTCCCCTGGCAGCCATCTGCTGGGGTGTGCGCCGTGGGCAGGGGCAGGAGCTGCAAATGCAACCCTCCCGGTTGAGTTTCTTTGCCTGAGCAGGGCTTTCCTTCATAATGTTGAGCTTGTTAAAGATAGGAACAATGTCTACTTTATCTTTGTGTCCCATTTACCCAAGATGGTGCTTGGCACAGACTGATGTAGTAAATGAAACGTTGGGAGCCAGATACGGCAGGTGACATGTGTGAGTTTCATCATACATTTGAAGTTGCTCAAAATATTTGTTAGCTGAGGTTGGCTTAAGGTTAGCTAGTGTGTGATTCATAGTGTGTGTGTAGAAGCTAATGTGTCTATGCACAGGTGTGCATGTGAAGGCCAGAAGCCAACATTAAGTGTCTGTCTCGGTTTCCCTCCATTTGTTTTTCTGAGATGGCCTCTGGCTGAACCTGGAGATCACCAAATCAGCTAGGCTGGCTAACCCGAAAGCCCTAGCTCCTGTCAGGTCCGTGGTGTTTTGATACACCCCTCCCTCACAACGCGCTGTCACACCCAGCTTTGTTATGTGGGTTCTGGGGATTCTGACTTAGGTCCCAATGCTTATACAGCAGGCCCACTGCCAACTGAGCTATCTCCCGTCCCTGCCTCCTCTGAGATGTCCCCTTACCCTGTGTCCTAGCATGGCTTGAGCTCAAAGCAGTCCTCCTGCCTCAGCCTTCTGAGTTTTAGGCTTACATATGTAGCCACGGTGGTATTTCAGATCTTAAAGCATGAAATGTATTTAAAAAATGTTCACCCCCATCTTTACCCCCCAGTGCAATGACTAGAATCTGGCAAAGTGCTTCATTATTACTCAGTGAGCCCCTTATGAAGGTGCCCTGGCAAGGGACAGTATGAATCCTGCATCAGGTCAAGACTCTGAATAGATCGTAGGTAAAAGGGATCTAATCCGTTGAAATCGCACAAGACCATCTGAGTAGGCTTGCCACCCTTTTTCTAAAGGATGAAGACTCCGAGAAGGTTTTATGGGTTGTTTGTTTATCTGTTTATTTGGGGGAGGGGTTTGTTTGTTTGTTTGTTTGTGACAGGATCTTGTGTAGGCCAGGGTGATCTTAACTTCTGACCCTCCTGGCTCCACCCCGAGTGCCGGGATGACAGGTGCGCACCACCGTGTGTGGCTTCTGCAGTGATGAGACCGGACACATGGTTCCGTGCATTCTAGGCAAGCACTCTGCCCGCCGAGCTGCATTCCAGCCTGGGTTTTGCTTTCAGACCAGCTTTTGAATTTTACTGCAAACAGTCTGGGAGGGAGTTTGGAAGGGAGATTGCAGTGACTGACTAGATGGTAATTCCAGAGTCCTGTTTGCACCCAGTATTCTGGAAAATTTCACAGAAAAGTGATTTCATTTGCTGTTAGCCCCGGAACCATCACTTTCCTAACAACTGAGTTGAACCCTTCGTATGAAGGCCTTGTCCTAGAACATAGAGTACGGCACCCTTCCCCTGACTTGTCTGAGGGAAGCCTCGCTTTTTACCATGTGGCTGTGTGTGTTATGACCCTTCCCTCATAAAGAAGCCTTTGTTTCTCTCAATTCTGCCATGGTTGGGTGGTTCTTTTTTATCATGTTTCCTTAATAAATACTGGTGCTGGTTGGGAGACAGACAGACAGATGGCCAGCTGGAAGTGGGTCGGGGACAGACGGATGATGGCCAGGTGGAGGAAGCGGGTGAAAAGGACAGGTGGGTCCAGGCTGTGGTGTAATATGTTCCATTGCTCCTTGATTTTGTAGGATAAGGAAGCCTGTGTGGGCACCAACAATCAGAGCTACACCTGTGACACAGGACACTGCTGTGGACAGTCTCAGTGCTGCAACTACTACTATGAACTCTGGTGTAAGTCCTTGCCCAGGGGGTTCTTGGCGTCCCAGGGTCCCGGCTACTGCCTCTGCTCCTTGGGAAACCGCGGGCTGGCCAGCCTTTTCTGATTCTCTTGGGGACAGTGTTGGTGAGTAGAATCTGGTTCCTGGTTCCAGACGTGATTCCTTTCTAGAGGAGGAGGGCTTGGGCCCCCCCTGGGCACGGTGGGCTGAGGACTGGGGAATGCAGCCTGCGCCTCTCTGGGGGTCCTTAGGCAGGGCTTCTGCCTGACACACTTTGTACCTTGATCTTCTTAGAACTCAGACAGGACAGAGTGGGAGGATGGTGTCCTTAGGGCAGAGCAGTCCCAGGTGAACAGACAGAGTGGGAGGATGGTGTCCTTAGGGCAGAGCAGTCCCAGGTGAACGACGCTGCAGGAGCTCCCACAGCTGTTTCTCAGAAGAAGCAACGGGGCCGTTCCCCAGAGGATTCCGATCCCTTACCCATACCTCTGCATAAACTCAGATGTGGGACTGACCTGTCAGCCCATGCATGTCCTTCCCCTTTCCCTTTCTCTCTCTGCACCCAGTCCTCCCAGTCAGAGAACAGCTAGAGGAAACACAGATTAAAACCACAAGAAGTGTATTTTTCAGCACTGGGAGGCAGAGGTAGCTGAATTTTGAGCTCATGACCAGCCTGGCTACATCACAATTTACAGGCCAACTAAATGCAGAGAATGGGTCTTAAACAAACAAACAAAAACCAAAAGAAAAAAAAAAAAAAAAAACGTTGATCTGGAAAGGAAATTGGACTCCTGGCTGGGAAGTCTCTCTTTGTGTGAAATGCAGTAGCCTTTTAAAGCCAGCATAGGTGGGCCCTTCGAACAGGACCTCTTCCTCACCCTCACCCTTCCAGGACTGAGGCCACCGACCCACAGGCATTCATTGCAGGAAAGGACAGGGCTTTGAGATCCCCACCAGGCCTCCATGCTTACAAGCAATGGCGAAAGGATGGGGTGGGGTTGAGAAACTGTCTAAAGAACACCAAGTCCGAGCAGGTGGACTCACTGGGTTTAAATGCCTTAAAATGCAGATAACCACAGGCTTCAAATTCTGCCTCCCACCCCTTGTCAAAACAAAAGGCGAAGTCTTGGGCTGCCAAAAAAAACACAGAGCTCCAGCTTGTTTTTCTGGGGCCCAGCCCAGCCGGCATAACTTATGGAAAGAAATGGAATTGCTGATGGCCCCATCTGGGATTGACAGAGCCTCCTGGGCTGGGGGTGGTGGGGGAAGGAAGGAGACTCAGTAGCCACCAGAAGTGGGTTGCCAAAGTCAGGGCCAAGAGGTGGGCCAGTGGCAAGGACTAGGGAAGCAAATGGCAGGGAGATTGTCTGAGGAAAGGGGCTCTGCCTCTCTACCTTCCAGTCACAGTCAGCTAGAGAAGGGAGGAGGCTCAATAGAGCGCACACTCCTTTGTACACATCTCAAGGCTCTCCAAGTTCTGGAGGGAGGGGGACCACAGAGTGAGACATTTCGCAGGCTGTGCCCAGCGGTGGCTTCTTGGGCAGGAGATGCCCAGTGCATGTTTTTCTGTTCCTCAGAAAACCCCTTGCCTTTCGTATTTGGGGGCCTAGTCTTTGTAAGAAGTATGTAGGAGGAGGCTTGAGGGTTGGAATGACTATGAAGTTCTTAGCAAAACTACACTTGCTATTTTTTTTTTCTTTTGGTGTTTGTTTGTTTGTTTGTTTAAGACCCATTCTCTGCATTTAGTTGGCCTAGAAATTGTGATGTAGCCAGGCTGGTCATGAGCTCAAAATTCAGCTACCTCTGCCTCCCAGTGCTGAAGAAGACACTTTTTGTGGTTTTAATCTGTGTTTCCTCTAGCTGCCTTTCGGTGTCGCCAGGCATGCCAAAGTATGTCTTTGAGTCCGTTTCCTACCTCCTGCTCCCCTTTCTGTGGGAGAGGAAGAAACGAGCCAGGAATCATTGGCAGGGTCAGACCAGGTGCCTCTTCATTTCACAAGGATGGCCTGGAGGAAATGCCGTTCCCACCAGCCCTTCAACCTAAATTTACCTGTGTCCCAAGGACTGACGTATGCACCTTCTGCAGGCCCACAGGCACGCGCTGACCTTGAGTTCTGTCCAGCTGGTTTTCAGTGTGCTGTAATCTGAACCAGTCCTTGGGCTTTGCGAGGTGAGAGCTCACACTCCTGTTTTACCAGCGCAGCAGCTGAGACCCCAGAAACCTGCATTGGTGCTTGGATTAAGTCTCTGTCAGGCATTTAACAACCTGATTTCCAGGGGCCTGAGACCTCAGTCCCTTAGCAGAGGTTTGTTTAAACACAGATTGCCAGGCCCCGTCCCCTTCAGGTCTGAGTTAGACCTGAGAGTTTGCAGTTCTAGAAAGCTCTTAATTGATGCCATGGCCTCTTGTGTTCTAGAAATGGCATGAGGGGATAATTCTTTTTGTTTTTTGGGGGGAGGGGATGGGGTGAGCAGGGTTTCTCTGTGTACCTTGGCTATTCTGAACTAGCTTTGTAGAACAAGCTGGCCTCGAACTTGTAGAGATTTGCCTGTCTCTGCCTCCCCAAGTGATGGGATTGCAGGCGTGCGCCACCATGCCCTGAGTGAGAGTATAATTCTTGCACCGGGAGGTGATCAAGCAGAGAGGAGATGGCAATGTGAGCTGGCAGCACAGAAGTGTGAAGTCCATGAGCCACAGCTGCTGGGTCTTGTTCAGAAGGAATTTGCTTTGGCCAGACAAGATCTCGGCGCTGTGAAGGGAAAGGTGGCCTTTGAAGTGGGCATTAAGGGTAGATGGGATTTATACACAAACAGGAGACTGCTGTCAGCCAGGGCATCAAGAAATCTGTTGTTTGTGGCCAGAAGTGGTGGAACTGCCCTCACTTCCCGCTTCTGGGGCTCCAAGGGCTAGAAGGAAGAGGAGCACCCATCATTTGAGTCTCAAAGGGCTTCTGCACATGTTTAATTTCCCTGAAACAGATCGAGTGAAGAGACCCCAGAAATTCAGGTGTGCCCTCAAAGCTAAAAAGCCTGACGCCAGGGTTCCCAGTTCTTGTCTGAGGCTTGTTTCCATTCTATGGACACATTTTCCTGGGAGAAGCCAAAGTTGGATTTTCTGTCCCTGAGCTAATTCGGAGGACTTTTACTCAAGAATCAGGTTTCCCTGATGTGAGTTTCAGCTGAGAGAAAAGGCGGTGGGACTTCCCCAGATGACGTCAAAGAGACTATTAGCCAATCCACTTAATGCCAACCCTCTAATACCTACTCACGTTGTGTCTTTAATTACTATATGAGAAGCTGACTGTACTTTCAGGGCACCCTATGATGATGTTACGGCTTTTAGCTCTTGAGCACACAGACTGGCAGGGAGCCTCCTTCGAAGCCCTTGTTGAAGCACAGCTCGCTAATGGTCCAGGCCCCAGGATACTGGCAGGATGGTCAGAGCAGGGCAGCTCATATCAGCAGACACAGCACCTTGTTCACCGCAGGGGCTCAATAAATAGGAGTGGCCTGTTTTTTCCACAGAATTTTGCCAAGAACAGAACCTAGAGGCAGACTTTGGACTTGATCCTAACCCATGTTTTTTATGGAATAGTTTTAGAGGAGGCTTCAAAGAGGATTTCAAGAAGTCCATCCCATCTGTGCTCGTGCCCATAAGAGCAACAGCTGTACTAGTACGCCAGAGACTGCACAGTCCACAGGCATGGCTGGGAGGACGTCTGTTCTCCCCATTTTACACACAAGGGGAATAGGAACAAAATCTCCAAGGTCGTAGGTTATTGAAAACTGAGGTTTGAACCTGAGCAGCTGTGGTCACCCTACAGGACAGTTGCCTTATAGTTTGGATGACATCAAAAGCCTGTGGAAATCTTCATCTCCCAAATTCAGAGCTTTTGAGCAACACCAGGGCAGGAGCTCCTGATGAGAGCCGTCAGAGCCAAGGGAGCGACCCTGTCACGTGAGAGGAAGGGAGCTAGCTCACTATAGTATCTCTGGCTCCCTGGCACGGAATTTCCTGCCATCTGAGGAGTGGTGCTTTCCCAAGGCTGTCGTGACCTCTAGGGCCCATGACTCAGTTCCTACATGGGACTGTGATTGTTTTTAAAACCCTGTTTTCTGTTTAGCTTAGCATGACAAATGCTCCGCACTACAAGATCATAACTTGGGCAGGACTAAGAGTAGAGAATTGCCAAAAAATTTGAGGCTAGTCACAGTTATATAGCAACACCCTGTCTGAAAATAATAATAATAATAATAATAATAATAATAATAATAATAATAAAACCTACGTCTTTGTTTCTTAAATCTAGCTAAAATATTAAAATTTAGTCTAACCCAACTGGGACTAATCTAATATCCCATCCCTGTCTACAGTCAATTTACAGCCTTTACTAGCATGATTCCTGGGACAGCCCAGTGTGTATGGGCCACAACAGCCTGCCTTCCCACCATTTCTCTGTCCCTAGACCAACTCCCAGTGTGCTGTAAGATGCTGTGTTTTTCCTTGCTCTGATCTGCACACAGACTCTTCCTGTAGTCTTAGGTTAGAGACTAAGAGGTGGTTTACCCAGTTTGAGACAAACTGGCCACCACACAGCCTCTGCGTGGTGGAGTTAGTTTCCCTCCTCCTAATGTCAAGAGGGAGAATGCGGGCCAGGGCTGCCAGTGTGACTTGCTGGCCAGCCTGGTCCAGCATCACAAGGAAAAGGAATGAAAGAGAAGGGAAAGTCGGTGTATGCTTCACCAAAGGTCTGCGTTTCATTCACTGCTTTCCCTGCTAGCTTTCTGGTCTTCCTAGTTTTTTCATTTTGTGTTTTTTGAAAAAAGAAAGCGCTTCCAATGCTCCATCAGTTAAGTGGACCTCAGCCTTGTTCTAGATGAAGAATCCCTTTTAAGATTCCTCATGAAGTTAATGAGATGGCTCGGCTGTTAACTGCTGATCCCAGACTATCGTGGTGGGAGTAAAGAACCAGCTCCACTATGTTGTCCCCTGACCTTCATACATGTACAGTGTGTGAGCACAGCATAAACAAAAATGTAATACAATTTATTAGAAACAATTCTTGGTAAATACTTAAATCTCACATAGAAAACCCTGTAAGCACACTGTGGCAATCAGAGCAGGCTAGGTTTTGCTGTAGGAACAAACATGTCCAAGATTTTTTATTTTATTTATTTATTTATTTATTTATTTATTTATTTATTTATTTATTTATTTTGAGACAAGGTTTCTCTGTCCTAGAACCTGCTCTGTAGACCAGGCTGGCCTCCAACTCACAGAGATCTGCCTGCCTCTGCCTGTACAAGATTCTTTTTAAATGTATTTATTTTATGTATGAGTGTTCTGTGTTCATGCACACCAGAAGAGGGCACCAGATCTCACTATAGATGGTGGTGAGCCACATGTGGTTGCTGGGAATTGAACTCAGGACCTCTGGAAGAGTAGCCAGTGCTCTTAACCTCTGAGCCATCTCTCCAGCCCCTCATATCCAAGATTCTAGTGACCAAACCCAGCAATTTTTGTTTGTTTGCTTGTTTTCTCACTCTTACTGTGTGTCTGTCGAAGGTGGAGTAGGGGCTTTGATCCCACTTGAGCATGTCTCAGAGCCTGGAGCCTGGAGCCAGAGTCTCAAAGGCTGGAACGCCAGTGCCAAGCGATGGAAAGTTTTACACAAACACCCTCGTCTCTAAATGACATGCCGCTTGTAATTCCCGTCAGTAGATGGGATTTGTCTCATAACTTCCCCCAAGCACGCAGAGCAGGAAGGTTGGGCCTGCCTGTGCACCCAAAGGGAGAGAGTCAGGAAAAGCGGTGCAGGGGAGTTCTCTTGTTTGTTGAGACAGTGTTTCCCTACATAGCACAGGTTGGCCCTGAAACTGGGGCTCTTGCCTCCATCCTGCAGGCATGCCTCACTACACCTGGCCAGGTTTTCTTTCCTTCACCATTAAGCTTAATGCAAATGTTGTAAAAGCTGAAACTAATGCCTTGGATCATGTATAACACAGAAAATGTCGAGAACGAGGAAATACTGGGGAAGTGATTGAAGTAAAAATAACATTACATGCTAACGTTATTTTCTAGAGAGGGAATGGATGCACTTTTAATGCTGAGCTGTGAGGTGGGGTGGGAATTGGGGAGCAGAGAGCTTTGCAGTCGTGAGCTTAGTCAGCATCTTTGAGGTACCAGGTTCAATCCCCAGGGGGAAATGATGAGGTTGCTCAGCAGCTGAGAGCATTTGCTGCTCTTGCAGTGACTAGAGTTCAGGTCACAGCTGTAACTCCAGCTCCAGGCAACCCATTGTCCTCTTCTGGGTCAGTGAGGTGGCCTAGCAGGAAAAGGCACAGGCCTCCAAGGCTGACAGCCTAGATCTGACACCCCAAACTTGTTCTCTGACCCCCACGAGCCATGAACATGCCTGCGCGCGCACACACACACTACACCTCTGCCTATATGTCTATATCGGTATAATAATATAAAAACACAAATGCAATGTGGAGACAGTTCAGCCAACTTGTGCTACATGAGACCCTGTCTCAAAATAAAAACAGTGACAGTAAACCAGACAGTGAACAAAAATATCTCCTCCCGTTCCCATAACCGCTTGTCTTAAAATTATTTATCAGATGAATTTTTGAGGAAAAAAACAAAAACCCTCTTTTTACTATAGAGATGTATATGTACACCCTGGGAAAATTAGGGAAAAAACAAACAAATAACCCAGGCCCTGAAAACCAATGCATTTTACCAATAGTGGCTTTCAGATGCCCACCCCCACTAGCTCACTTTAAAAAAAATTTTTTTTTGGCCTATATTTTATTTATTCGTTTTCTAGATTTGTGGTGCTGGGATCTAGAAGCCACCTTGCCCACACTAAGCAGGCAAGCACTCTACTGCTAAACTATACCCCAGTCCCTACCTGGCTGACTTTAGGAAAGATTTGCTTTTGTTAGTTCTAATTATGTGTGGTTATGTGCACATGAGTGTGGGCCATGGGGTTGGAGCTGTGGAATCACATGCTATGTGGGTCCTGGGAACTGCGTGCTGAGTTTTGAGACAGGGTCTCAACAGGTGAGCCTGGCTGGTTGGAAACACCCCCCCCCACGGAGCCCAGACTAGTCTTCAGCTCCCAGTCTGCCTCTGGGTTTATCAGGGCTGGTGAGGTAGCACAGTAAAAGCACTCGCCGTGCAAGCCTGAAGACTTGCTCCATCCCTGGAACCCGCAGGGTGGAAGGGGATCCCTGACCTCTGACCTCTTGCCACAGATCTATGGCATGCACACCTCTGCATTTATACACACATTATACATACATATGGATATTTAAAATTTGTTTGAGAATTTATGAATGTATATAATGTGTTTTAATCAAATGCACCCTACACATTACTTTTTAAAAATAAATTTATCATTAAAAAAAAAAAAAAAGCCAGCTGAGAGATGATGGGACACACCTATAATCCCAGTGCTCAGGGGACAGAGGAACATAGATCTCTTGAGTTCAAGGCCAGCCTAGTCTACAGAGCAAGTTCTAAAATAGCCAGGGCTACATAGAGAAATCCTGTCTTGAAAAACCAAAAACTGAACAAAAGAAAAGAAAAAGCCAGTAAAAGTAAAACTAGTCACGGGTAACTTTTAAGTTGATTTTTTTCTAGTTTCATAATTTAAAAGAATAAAATAATTGAAAAAAGCTTAAATTTCTTGTAATGCCATCTCTTTTAGAAATGTCATCATTTGGGACTGGAGAGATGGCTCAGTGGTTAAGGGCGCTTGTTGCTCATGTGGAAAACACGGGCTCAGTTCCTTTCCCAACACCTATATGGATTTTCACGATCATCCCTCTGCAACCCTAGTTCCAGGAGAGCCTACATCCTCTGAACAGCAGGGCAGGCACAAGCATACACACACGTTTAAAGCCGTTACTCCTGTGTTTTTCCTTCAGGCTTTCTTCCATATGTATCTATACATGTTTAAGCAAAACTGGAACATTAACTTTTCAAGGTGTTTAAAAGCCTTCTCTGTCCACATTTCAGATTTGAGGTGTTCTGAGAGAGTGGGAAATGAGAGGGTGGGGGTTGAGGAAGAGGTGGAGGCTGCCAGCAGTCCTCTGCCTGCACAGCTGAAGGGGTGGGGAGCGGATTGTCCAGGCAGCGGAGATGGAATTGTACCGGATTATAGAGGGGCAGGAAGTCATTTACACTCTCTAGGGAAGAGCGGGGCCTGAGGCAATTAAAACTTTTCCATCTCTCTGTTTAATGATTGTCGTTCACAAAGGCGCAGTCGTAAGGAAAAGCCCTCATCTTGTCCCTGGGCGGGAGAATCAGAAGAAATCATTTTGTTCACGATCTCTCGTTGCTGCCTTCCACATGCAAACCACAGAGCCAGCCGGGGTGCTGCCGTGGTGGCCTCCTCACCTGGCCACTCCCTTCCTTTTCTCCCAAGCATCTTCCATTTTGCGTGTGTGGCTTGACATAGAGTGACAGGGTGAGGCCCGGCTGTCTGCTCCAGCCTCAGGGCACTGTGTAGACCTTGTCTAAGAGCCGCCGTCCACCTCACTGGTCCTCACTGGGTGTGTGCCTCTCTGTCTTGCCTCCCCAACCCCCAGGGTTCTGGCTGGTGTGGACCATCATCATCATCCTGAGCTGCTGCTGTGTCTGCCACCACCGCCGAGCCAAGCACCGCCTTCAGGCCCAGCAGCGGCAGCATGAAATCAACCTGATCGCTTACCGGGAAGCCCACAATTACTCAGCGCTGCCATTTTACTTCAGTATGTACATCACAGGTCACGCTCAGGCGCCTAGTCACACAAAGCCCAGACCCAAACGCTTCCCAGTGGCCAGGACCCCGGTGAGGGGTGCCCTGTCATAGCCCTACCTGGGTCTGTCACATAGAGGATCATACAAGTGTCTCAGGCTACAGTTGTGCTTCCCAAGCCTCAGGGTCATTCCCAAGCAGCCAGGTCTCTGCTCCTTTAACAGGCTCATATATATTCACACACATATATGCATGCATACACACATACATTAATTTAGAGTCTCGTGTAGTCCAGACTTACCTCAGATTCCCTATGGAGCCTGAGGATGGCCTTGAACTGGATTTTTTCAGGTACATAGTCACTGGAAGTGTGATGCTAGAGGCTTGGGGTGTAGCGCTTGCTGGATCTGGTGCTCAGCAACCTGAGTTCTGCCTGTTTGGGTTGTTGTTGTGCCTTGTAGGGTCTTCATGAAGGGGGCAGATAGAAGGGTGGTATTGGGACTGTCTGAGAGCCAAGGAACTTGGTGACTTACCTGTCCTCTCACGTGATCCAGGGAGGCCCAGCCAGGCTTCTTGTCTTAAGCCACCTGGCACATTATACAAATTATAGTGTCGCAAAAGTTTGGACTTCCATAGCTAGAAGGGTTAGTTGCTAGAAGGGTTAGTTGCTGAGTATGTTGCCTTATGTATATAGTAAGTGCTCAATAAGTGCTAGCAGCTTCAGGTTTTTTGTTTGTTTGTTTGTTTGGAGACAGGGTTTCTCTGCATAGCTTTGCCTGTCCTGGATGTAGACCAGGCTGGCTTTAAACTCACAGAGTTCTGCCTGCCTCTGCTTCCCAGAGTTCTGGGATTACAGGCATGTGCCACTGTGCCCAGTTAAGTTTTTTTGTTTTTTTCCTTTGAGATTTATTTATTTAATATTTATACAGCATTCTGCTTGTGCACCAGAAGACACCAGATCTCACTATAGATGGTTGGGAGCCACCATGTGGTTGCTGGGAATTGAACTCAGGACCTTTGGAAGGGCAGTCAGTGCTCTTAGCCTCTAAGCCATCTCTCCAGCCCTCTGTTGGGGTTTTAAATGAGATGACCTGCCTCAAGGCCTTGGTCACATTCAGAAGGGAGCCCACCTGGCATGTGTGTTTTTAAGGAGCCTTCATGTCACAGGTCCCTCACTCACCCTTGGCTGTGACCTACCGCTCCTGAGCTGGGTTTTGACTTTCCAGATCGTCTTGAGCCGCACTGTAGTGAAGGAGGCCACACCTTCACTACAGTGAAGATTTCAGACCTTCAGGGGAAAACCCTGGAACAGGAGACATCTGTGGAGCTAGGGAAAGGATGTAGAAGGCTTATGTTAGGGCCCTTGGCCGAGGCCTAACAACTGGTGGAGGATAGGGTCTGAGCGAAAACTGTGGGGCCAGCACCAGACAGATCCCAGTCACCTGTGTTCCGAGTCTCGAGCACCCTCTGCTGGCCTCTGTGGGCACTGCAGCTGAAGCACCCGCACCCCGAGATCCATTACAATTCCCAAAGCAGCACAATGACAAGTTACGAAGTAGCAACAAAAATGATGTCATGATTGGGGTCACCATAAAGTGAGGAACTGTATTAAAGGGTCGCAGCGGTGTTAGGGGGAGTTGAGAGCCGCTGCCCTAGGCCTCTCCTCCCCTTCCCACTGCTAAGAGCCACAGCCAGAGCCGAGGCTTGATGGCCCCAGGGTGGGAGGGGACAATGGCATGTGTAGGGGGAACTTCGCTAGGATGCTGGCCAGTGCAGTAATTTCCCCCCCCCCCCCCCGCCTCCCCGTTGTAGGGTTTCTGCCAAACTATTTACTACCTCCTTATGAGGAAGTGGTGAACCGACCTCCAACTCCTCCCCCACCGTACAGTGCCTTCCAGCTACAACAGCAGCAGCTGCTGCCTCCTCAGGGCAGCCCGGCAGGCGGCAGCCCCCCAGGCGCCGACCCGCCCCCGGGCTCCCAGGGAGCACAGAGCAGTCCTTTGTCTGCACCGAGCAGAAGCAGCACGAGACCCCCGAGTGTCGCTGACCCTCAGTCCCCCGAAGTGCCCGCCGCCGGCCCGGCGGCCACCAAAGCCCCAGGAATGGAGTCCGGCGACTCCGTGGCCGGCCTCGGGGAGCTGGCCCCGGGGCCCTTCCTGGACAGGGATTCGGAGTGTAAGGAGGAGCTTCTGAGAGATTCAAGTTCTGAGCACGGTAGTGTGCCCCCCGACAGCAAAGACAAGACCCCCGGCCGGCACCGCCGATTCACAGGTGACTCGGGCATCGAGGTGTGCGTGTGCAGCCAGGGCCACCACGATGATGACCTCAAAGAGTTCAGTACGCTCATCGATGATGCCCTGGACGGGCCCCTGGACTTCTGTGACAGCTGTCACGTGCGGCCTCCCGCTGACGAAGAGGAAGGGCTCTGCTTGTCCTCTGAGGACCCGGCCCGAGAGCCTGGGCACCCCCACCGGTCGCCCGCGTGCCTGCTGCTGAACACCATCAATGAACAGGACTCTCCGAACTCGAAGCGCAGTGGCTCCGCCAGCTAGAACAGGCCCTGCCTGCACCGGAGAGCGACAGAAACCAGGGTAGGGGACACCCACAAAGAAGCATTAAGTGACTTTCAGAAGTGGTACAGCCACTCTGGCCTTTTATTTTATTTTTTCCTTCTGTCCCACTTTCCCACATCTCCAGGTACAAATTTGGGATGTGGATGGCTCCTTTTCCCCCCACAAAAGCACAGTGTTGTAGGAAACTGAGAAGCTGATTCTGTGACTCATTCCGCACCCCTCTTTTCAGACTTGTAGCTCACCTACCTGCTTGGCTAAGAAACGTGTGTTTGGAAAGCCCTCAGTGACTGGGGTTGGCATTGTGCTGTAAGCTGGGTCTCAGGACGGAGTGGATTTGTAAGAAAACCGTGTCTCAGTCTGGGAGAGACAGTTTATCTTGGCCCCGAGTAAAAAAGGAAACCCTCGGGGGCCCGGGTTGTCACCCATGGCTGTCACCTATGCAGAGCTGGCATTGGTCTAATCCTGTGGGAGTGTGAGAGCCATTGGACAGGCTGGTGACGATCTTGTTGCTCTGACAAGCCCCAGGTGGAAAGTACACATCTGTGCATTGTAGAGGGGTCCCTTCCCAGCAGGCCTTGGCCTCAGTCTGGTAGTTCAGGTGCAGAAGGTTATACTGTGTTCTTTAAAAACAAATAACAAAGGCTAGCTGGAAACCAGACCGCATCGGTAGGCCAGCAAGAATTCTCCTCTAGACAAGGGAATCTTGTAGCTCTCCCCTAGGCTGAGTTTCCAAGAGTCTGGCTACTGTGGGCAAGGTGGAGAGTGTGTGAGCACGCCTGGTAGTGGTAGCCCTGGGCCTTCTGGGAATGGAGGCTTAAGTCCGATGGCTGGTGAGATACAGCCTCTGCCACCTCTGCCCTTTGTCTATGCCCACGGGTGATTGGTGGTCCTTGCCCATCCTGAGCAGTCTGCAGTCTCTGTCTCCTCGTCCTCTGTAAGCAGATGGGCTGAGGGAGTTGTGTGTCCTGGGCAAGGCAGCCTAGTAGCCTGGTTCTCAGTATTTTCTCTTGAGTTTGACTAAGCCTGTTGTTTGTGTATTTGTTTGTTTTAAACTGACCACTTAGAAGGAACACTTTATCTGTGGTTCTTGTGGCTGCCCCCTCCCCCTAGCCTGTTGGAGAGGCCTAACTCACTTTCCTGTACAGCCTGTGTAAAGAGTCCCTTGGGCAGGAGGTGACAGCCATCTCCAACAGGACGTCAGGGCCTGGTCACTATTGTCTGGCTCCCGAGACCCCATTGAGCTTTGATAGGAAGAAGGAGCGTAGAAGCAGCTGAGACAAACATTCCCCACCCAGCCCTGTCCTGCAAAGAGTACGGTTCCTTCCCTGCTCTTGAATGATGATCCATAGACTCGGCACCATCATTATGGTGAGAAAGGACAGAAGGAAGGAGAAAGTCCATATAAACACACATCCAAGGCTGGAAGGTGAATGCACGTCTGCATTCGGATGCCGCAAACCAAAATCCTCGTTGAACAAAAGTGAAGTCTACACAGTGATGTTGGATGACGTGGTGTGTGTGTGTCCGTGTGTGTATGTGTGTGTGTCCGTGTGTGTCTGTCTGTCCCCCAGCCCTGTGTTCCTGTGAAGATACTTTGAATGGTCATTCTGCTCACATTAACCACGGAGCACATATGGCCCTCTCAAGGTAATTTATTTTACGCATTTACTGTTTACTGAACAATTGTCTGACTGTACTTGGGTGTCTTCAGCAGCCTTGTTGCCGGCAGCGCCTGTGTTTGCCAGCGACGCTGCCCGCCAGGGAGAGGCTTCTTACTCAGCTCACCACTGCGATTTGCACATTGCTCCACGGACACTCAGAGGCCTGCATTCTGTTCCCTGTACATGGAAACGTTCTGAACCAGTCTCCCTCTCTCTGCTGCTCTCAGACAGAAGCTTGACTGAGTCTTGAGTGACAAGCGTGGACTAGCTGTGGCCCAGACATCTGCCTGCCCAGGATCACCAGGAGTCTGGCAGACACCTTGGTGCGCCACAAGCGCGCCCCTCCTCTGCCAGGGTCCGGAGGGCTGGTGTGTGGCCAGAGGGGCCCGAGCTGCAGCCCCCACACGCCTTTCCAGCTGCCTTCTCATTAAAGTCCTACTCAGCTCACTCAAGTGTCTCAGAGGAGAGTAGTTCTCCTCTAACAAGCCCCTCCTTAGCTAAGCAGTGGCGATGAGGCGGGGCTCTGGCCCTTGGCAGGGGAGCTGGCCCGAGAGCACCCACCGAGATGACGGTGCCGCCGTAGCCCGGCCCCTGCTGCTTCAGGCCACCCTGAGAGAGCCCTGGAGACAGTGAGCTGGGGTCAGGGACACTTGGCTGAGTCGGGTTTCCAGGTGAACAGGAGGAGGTGGGTAGGCAGAGGTCTCGGTGCTACGGTCAGATTCGCAGCCGCTAACACATTCCTGTGTGAGGCACATCCCGGTCTGTCAGTTATTGTGAATATGTGTATTTTAAGCAATAAGATTCAGCTGCCCAGACTCCCCTGGGCGGGTCTGGGTGTGTTCTGAAGACAGAGTGGCTCTAACCACTGTGAGAAAACCCTAATAAAATCAGTCCTAAACATCCTACTGCAGTTTTCCTTGCCACACTTTGTCCCTTTTACTTCTGCCTCAGACTTCCATCGCAGACCTCCATACCAAGACCAAATGGTGTGACAGAGCAGTCAAGGACAGGGTCCTGGGCTGGCAGAAGGAATTGCCTTCAAATGCCTTTTCTATTATCAGATACTTTGTGGCATTTCTTAAATATGTTTAAAAAAAAAAAAAAGGACCCCAAAAAGCAGAGACAAGTTTTTTGCAGATTCCCCAAAGTTGAATTAGTTTTAGGGTTTTAAATTTTTTTTTTCTTACTATTATTTTATGTATTGGGTGTTTCTCCTGTGTATGACTCTATTTCATGCACACAGTACTCATGGAGGCCATAGGAGTGCATCATGCCCTGTAACAAGAGTTGCAGATGGCTGTGAGCAGCCATGGAAGTGCTGGGAATTGAACCCAGGTCCTCTGCAAGAACAGTGCTCTAAACTGCCGAGCCATCTCTATAGCCCCGGTTTTAGGTTCTTTTGAGATAGGGTCTCACTGTAGCCCAGACTTGCCGGAACTTCACACAGAGCCCTAGCTCACGGTTATCCACCTGTTTCAGCCTCCTAATGCTGGGGTTGCAGGAGAGCCACCACACTCTGCCTTTAATGCCGAGTTGTTTTGTACCCAGCATATGACAGAAGCTGAGGAAATGTAACATAAGCCAGAGCCAAGCACCCCGTTCTCTGCAGCTCGTGGGTGAAATGGCAGGTGCATACCTGTGGGGAATAGCTGACAAGTGAGATGTGCCTGGCACAGGTTGAGAGACTACGGGAGTAGTGGAAGGCCACCCGAGGTTTGAACTGTTGAGTCAGAGGACACTGAACTGAGAGCAGCTTGCTGCGTCTGCTGAGGAAGGGTGCCCATCAGGATTTCTTGAGGTGACTGCAAGCGGCGAAGCGTGACATGTGCAGCCTCTCCGCCCTCACAGAAGGGGCGCCTGCTTCCTAGGTGTGCTCACCACAGGCCTACTCCCCTGGCTAGTGGCTGCAAGTATTGTCCTCCTGAGCCTGTAGTAAGCCCCGTTATATTTGAGAGTTTGAGTTAGCTAGGCATGGCCTTTGTCCCTGTCATTGATCCTGGCTTCTAGGTACTCCACTGAAATAGTTGCTGTCCCCTTACTACTAAACTGCTAGGTCCCTTCCAGGCACTGCTGCTGAAACCACACTAGCTCGGAAGGACAGTTGTTGCTCTGAAGCCGCTGGGAAGCCGAGCGCAGTGGTGCGTGCCTGTGGCCCGGCACACAGGAAAAGGCAAGAGGTTCCTGAGTTTTGGGGACCATCTGGGGCTACACAGGGCATTCCAGGCCAACAGAAGCTAGCAAGACCCTGTTTTAAAACAAAACTACCAAAAGCCCATGAATAACTGGAGGTGCCCACCATTCCTGCTTTCTTAAAAGATAAAATCTGAGTAACTGAAAGAAAATGGCTCAAGTCTTCCGGGCCACTTGTTCACGTACACTTGATTTCTAGGCTCTTAGAACACTGGGTCATGGGAGTTCCTTTTTTAGAGCTATGACAATTGTCTCTATTGCCTCAACTGACCAAGTTCAGGTAGAGATTGTATTTGCCCAGAAGCCCAAGACAACCTCACTTTCCTGGTTCTGGTCTTCATTTTTTCAGTTTCCTGGTTTTAGCCATTGAGCAGAAACTCCCAGGATTTGACTCTAGAAGAAACGGAGGCTTGGCTTGAGTATTCGAGGCTCCTTGCTGAGGCCCCTGGAGAAGGACCTTGGGTTGGAAAATGTTTTGAGTTTCAGGCTCCAGCAAGTGTCTGAGCCTTCACCGAGTGTGGTGTCCCAGTTCGCAATCCCAGCATTTAGGAGGTGAAATCAGAAACTAATAAAAGCAGCAAAAAAGGCCATGGTTGCTGCTACATGTGCTGGAGGATGCGACTTACTGTAGCTAAAAGGGAGAGCATAGCCAGACGGAGCCAGACCACGTGAGGAAAGGAGGGAGGGGGGAGCCAGGAGGCCAGGAGACCAGACAGACCATAAAGAGGCCGAAGGCTGAAAGGGCTGGAGTAGACATAGACCTCAGCTGTTTGTACCCAGTTAGAGACCTAACAAGAAAGATTAGAAGTTCAAAGTCATCCTTGATGATCCAAGGGTCTTTTGTTTATAATATATATTTTTTAATTATTATAGTTTATTCTCTTTGTATCCCAGCTGTAGCCCCCTCCCTCATCCCCTCCAAATCCTGCTCTCCCTCCCTCCCTCATCTCCTCCCATGCCTCTTCCAAAGTCCACTGATAGAGGAGGACCTCCTCCTCTTCCATCTGACCTAGCCTATCAGGTCTTATCAGGACTGTCTTTCATAGTCTTCTTCTGTGGCCTGGTAAGTCTGCCCCTCCCCCCCTCAGGGGGAGATGATCAAAGAGCAGGCCAATCAGTTCATGGCAGAGACAGTCTGTGTTCCCATTAGTAGGGAGCCCATTTGGAGACTGAGCTACATCTGTGCAGGGGTGCCATGTTATCTCATGAATGGTCCTTGGTTGGAGTATCAGTCTCAGAAAAGACTCCTGGGCCCAGATTTTTTGGTTCTGTTGCTCTCCTTGTGGAGCTCCTGTTCCCTCCAGGTGTTTCTATCTCCCCTTCTTTCATAAGATTCCCTGCACTCTGCCCAAATTTTGGCTCTGAGTCTCAGCCTGTGCTTTAATACCCTGCTGGGTAGTCTTTCAGAGGCCCTGTTACCCAGGGGGTTTTAAGGCCATTTTCTGCATTAAATGTGACAGCTTCAAGATACATGTGAATGCGTGCCTACCCAGTCACAGACCTGCAGTATTTAATGAGCACCTGCTGTGCTAGGCATTGGGCATGCAAAGATGCCGAGAGCTGGGTCGTCTGCAGGACAGACACCTGGAGGAGAAGTGGTACACCAGCGTGTTAGCACACAAGCGAGTTCAAGGCAGACTCCTCCCTGGTAGGGTCCTGTGGGTCACCGAGTGCCAGGCACTGAAAGGCACAGACAGGCCCAAGAAGCCACCGGGAACCCTGAGTGTGGTGTGGAAAGCAGCATCTGGGAAATAGCCAGAGATGAAGCCGGCAGGTGAGCAGACATACGATGTTCTGGTTGCCTCTGTCGGTGTTAGTTATTGGCTGTTCACACGAGGTGGGTCTTGGTTAAGCATTTTCATGGTTACATTTTCTCAACCGTGAAGCCTGTAGTCCAAGGTGTAACTGTTCCTGCTCTGTCAGTGGGAGGAGGGGACACACTGGGAGGGCAGGACTAACTAGGCCAAGATCACACAGCCGATAGGTAGCGGAGGAGGGATTTGAAACCTTTTGTTAGCCAGAGGCCAGACGGTGAAGAGCTGGTGACATTCCAAAGGTGAGAGGAAGCCAGAGAGGCTTGGCTTCAGTGTGAAACCTGCTGAAAGACGAGGCCAGGGCCGTTCCCTCAGCTGCATAGCCAGGGCTCACATCTTCCCGCCTTCCCCAGGCATGAGCACGGCTCTTCAGGTCAGGGTTAGCTCCCACTTTGGGTGTGGTGGTGTACACCTTCAGTGCTCCACGGAGAGGTCAGAGACAAGTGGATTTCAGTGAGTTCTAGGCCAGCTGAGGCTGCAGCTGAGGCTGTCTCAAAAAACAAGACAAACATACAAAACAACACACACACACACACACACACACACACACACCCAACAGCTGGGCAGTGGCACGCCTTTGCTTCCAGCATTAGAGACCGAGATGGGGATTTCTGTGAGTTTGAGACCAGCCTGGTCGACAAGAGTTCCAGGACAGCCAGAGCTACACAGAGAAACCCTGTCTCAAAAAACCAAACCAAACCAACCAAACAAACAAACAAAAAAATCCACAGAAAATGTTAACTTCCCCAAGAAAGTTTGTGTGTGTGTGTGTGTGTGTGTGTGTGTGTGTGTGTGTGTGTGTGTGTTCGTCCTCCAGAGGAGGTAAAAATAGAAATGTCAGTATTCACAGGGGTGGCAAATTTTTGTTTGGTTGGAAATCTCTCCTCCCTATAAGCCCGCTGTCTGCGCTGGAAAATGTTACAAAGCACCTGTGTGGGAGCCACAGGACTCTCTCATGTTCTCTGCCCGCTTCGTAGCTGTCAGCACTGCCTGGCCCTGGTGTGCAGGTAAGTTCTGGAAGGCTCCCTGACAAACCTCCCAGCCCAGCTCACTTCTGAGAAGTGTGTGTAAAATCCACTGGGGAAAACAATCTTTTATGAAGTATTGATAAGGCCAGTGTTTGTGGAGGACCCAAACATGCTCCACAGGTTCACACAAACCGCAGAGCAACGCTGAGGAGGCCTAACTCTGCGTACCCCAGCCTCTCCATAATTACATCCACGTGTTTCGGAGGGGAAGTCTGGGGCACAAGAAAGCCAAATACGTTGTCTGTGGTCACCTGGTCTATAACAACACCAAATTTATCTCCGTCACATGTGAGGGACTCTCCTGCCCACAGGAGCCTCTGTGCTTTCTCCTCACCCAGGCCTCAGAGTGGGCAGCGTCTGTGGACTCTCCACTTTCTGTGTGAGGACAAGGCAGTTCTGGAAACCAGTGGGAGGAATAGGGTGGAGGACTTGGGCTGGGAGCCAGGGACCATCACCTGAGTATTCCCAGTCTTCCTCGCTGCTGTCCCCCACTCTGCTGCCTCTGACTGGTCCCCCGTCATCTGAAGGTGGATACTTCTGTGTGTGACCGCAGAGGACAGGCCTCATTTTGGTGGCCTCCGGACACACTGCACATACCCTCTCTGGGAAAAGACCTCTCCCTATAGAGGACCCTGTGGGGACTTTTTCTGAAGGATAGGAACAGGGTGGGGATCATCAGTGAGGGTGGTGGCTGTTTTATCTCACAAATTTTAATTACTATTAAATGTTCAAAGGTTTTATGAGCTGCTTCTTAAACAGCCAAAAACAAAACAAAACAAAAAACCCACTAAATTAGTCCCAGCACTCAGGGAGGCAGAGGCAGGCAGATCGCCATGAGTTTGAGGCCAGCCTCGCCTACATAGAGAGTCCAGGACATCCAAGGCTGCACAGAGAAACCTTGTCTCAAAAAAAACCAAACAACAACAAAAACCACAACTATATTATATTGCAAACAGGCAATGAGTACACAAAGTGGACCGCTTCCTGGTATTCTGCATATTAGCTATGCCTCCCGAACATACACAGGGCATTTACTGTTTGCAAGCATGTACCTACAACAGTGCTGCTCTCGGTGACAGATCACATGCACAGCAGGAAGGCTGCCGTCAAGCTGAAAACTCCCTGTCTCCTGGTGACGCTGTCATAAAGCATGACACGTTTCCCATGGGTTTGTAGTGATGGTCATGGGAACAAACCTACCTAGATAGACAAAATGCTATCACATTGCACTTGCCCACAGCGCTCAGTGAGGTGGCATTCTAGACAGTATGTAGGCCTGCTGGGTCGTGGGCTGTCCTGCCCACTAGGCTATACAAATAACCCTGGTGTTCACGCAGAGGAAACTATTCAGTGACGTGTTTCTCAATGGTGCCTTCCCCCATGTAATGATAAGAACATGTAAGGTGAGCTGGGGGCTCACCCCTGTAATCCCAGCACTCAGGGAGGCAGAGGCAGGGGGATCTTCGTGAGTCCAGGACAGCCAAAGATAGCCAAGAAACCCTTTCTTGGAGTGTGGGGGAAAGAACATATCATGTGACTGAATTATCTCCTCCTGATTGCTCAGTGATGTCCCATTGGCAGCTATTGGCAAGTCCTGAAACTATATGTCACTCCAGAGCTAGTGTTAAGCGTTGATTTACCATCACCCTGTTGCTTAAGAGCGGTCTGAGGAGCGACGGTAAATATGGAGGGGCTAGGGGCGTGTCACAGCGGTAGAACACATACCTACCGTGCAGGAAGCCTGGCACGGAAGGGAGGAGAGACGGGCGTGGTGGTGCCTGCCTGTAATTCCAGCATCCTCAGCTATGTAGAGAATTTGAGGCCAACCTGGGTTGCAGGAGTCTCTCAAAACAAACAAATGACAAACTGAAAGTGCTCCTCTTTCTGCATACTGCCTGCTTTTCAGCACTGGACCTAAGATTTAGGGATAAGACTCCCGGGTCAGTGATTTACGAAATTTCACAGTGTCCTCTTGTGCATGTGACCGATTTGTCATGTACTCATATGCAAGAAAATGAGAAGGCTCAGTCTCACACTCAGAGAGGAGAGCCATGTCCTTGAGATATTAGCAGTTAGGACAAAATCCTGGGCCCTGACAACCAGGCTCAGCTGTCTGTCTTCAACAGGCCACTCAAACAGACCAGAAATAGTACAGAGCAGAAAAAAAGAGATTGCCCCGCTGTGAGCAGCACAGAGGTCCTGTGACACATTCTCACCGAGCCCATCTTTGGGGTCCTGAGGTTTAGGTTTAATAAGGGGCAAGCAATCTGCAGAACCAAGCAGTCCTAGCCAAGGTCCGACCCACCTTGCTTACCTTGGTTTCAGTCTGTCCTGCCAGGTGGTCCAGTGGTCAGAAGTGTGTGAAATCTAACAGAGAGACAAGTTCCTGCTCTGGCTGGCACCAGCTGGCACCCTCCTTCTCCTAGCCTGAGATCCTGAAGAAATATAAGTTTCTTGGGAACCGTTATTTCAGTAGCCTGAAAGAAGGGAAGAGTTCCATCACAGGAGTCTGAGATAAGTCTTGGAGGAAAGCTTTTACTTGGGAGTCTCAAAGGGGCCCAGAGATTTGGTGATTCAGGTCAGTGGGTAAAAGTCTTCCAGGCAGGTGCAAGTCTGGGCAGCAGTCAGAGCTCATGAGATTATTTTCTCAAAGGACACAGTTTGCCCTGCATGGTGGCCCATGCCTGTAATCCCAGTACTTGGGGAGACAGAGGTGGGTGGATCGCTGTGAGTTCAAGGCCAGCCTGGTCTACAAAGGGAGTCCAGGACAGCCAAGGTACACAGAGAAACCCTGAGTAGAAAAACAAAAGAAAGCTCTTTTAAGGAAAGCTCCTTTTCTCCTTGTGGGAGTTCCCTCAACTTCCCTTGGTAAACAGCCAGGTGGATCTTAGTCTTGCCCTGTGGCCTTCCCAGAGTCTTCCAACCCACTGGAAGGGAAAGACCTCACTGCTAATGATTTGACCCTGTTCTGGCTTGCACCAGGGATCTGGGGGTGTGACATCTTTCTAGACTAAAAGTCAAAGGTCAGTTTCTCCCAGGATGTTTGGGACTTCATGTGTAGGCTAGTCAGTGGCAAGGTTTAAAGATGCTGGATTCCAGCTGAGAAGGATCAATGTACTTAGTGCACAAAACTTGATGACAAGCCGGAAACAGTAGCACAAGTGTGGGTGATCATAGTGTACCCCTACCAAGAGAGAGGAGGGAAGAGACAGCTTCAAAGTTTAAAGGAATTAGCTCTGTCTTCTAGTGAGCAGGCATTTCTGATTCCGAGTGTTTTGAATGGGGAAGGGAGAAAAAAAAAACAGGTGTTTAACATTTAAAAAACCGGGTGTTTAACATTCCTGGTTCCCCAGTTCCTCCCATTCGAGTTTCCCTAGTTTCCCGTCCTGAGTCATCAGTGGCACACAGTAGGTTCCATTAAGTGGTTTTTGTTTTGTTTGTTTTGTTTTGTTTTGAGAGGCGGGCAAGATGCCTCATTAGGCAAAGGTTTCTTGCTGCAAAGCCTGGTGTCCTGACTCCTGTCTCTGAAATCTATGTGGTGGAGAGAACCAATTCCCAAAAGTTGTTCTTTCACACACACACACACACACACACACACACACACACACACACGTCTCTAACACAAAAAATAAATTAGTACATATTTATTGATGATTGGGGAAGGAAGCAAGTAAGTAAATAATAGGCAACTCTGAGACTTTTACTGGAAAATATTTATGTGTTACCACCCTTTATTGCTGCAAACTAGAAAATGGGACAGGAGGGAGAAGAATGAAGAGAGCAGTGGCCGTGGCACTTCGCTGTTCTGCTGTGTGGCTCTGGGTCCGAGTTATGGTGCTAGCACAGCTAGGTGCTAGCCTCAGCCTGGGCGTTCTTCCATTCCTGGCGCACTGTGATCTTCACTTTGAAATGGTCGATCAGAAAGACCACCTTGGGGTCACCCTTCAGACAGGGCAGCTTCCCATCGTCTGACACACCCAGGTCAAACCTCTGCAGCAGCCAGGCCATGAAGAGGAAGAGCTCCTGACGAGCCAGCACCTCTCCGACACAGGAGCGGGGACCAGCTCCGAAGGGCAGGTAGCTTAAGGTGGGTGTAATGAGATGGCTTCCCTTTGGATCTAAGAAGCGCTCTGGGGACAAAAGGAAGCATCAGCCAGGGCCCAAGCTTTTGCCCAGAGAACCTTGGCCTACTTTTAGGACATGAGAAAATTAAATATTCAGGAAGGATGGGGAGAGAGGAAGAGAAGTCACCAGGAGGAAATGCTACCATCCAAGGGAGGAGGGAGAGGCCTTTTGGGAGACAGGTGCCTGCAGACTTCCACAGAATTTGAAGAGAGGCCTGGAAACCCAGCTGTGAAGAGTTTGGCTCAGTTTCCAGTAGAAAGGAAATGACAACAGGCCTGTGGGGCTGCAGCCACAAGGTTTCTGGTAGCTTAGCAAGAAGGAGTTCCGGCCTGGTGGAGCAGACTCCAGGCTGGCTCTGTAGCCCAGGGGCCCGGACAGGGCAGACTCACCAGGCATGAACTGATCTGGCTGGTCCCATTCCTCCTCACTGTGATGCAGCGCCCACAGATTGATGACCACGTTTGTGTCCTTGGGGATGGTAAACTCTCCAATGCTGACCCAGACAGGGGGAAGAAAAAGAAATGCTGTCTTCCCCTCCTGGCTCAGCCCCAAGTCACTGGGGGGGGGGGGGGGGCTCTATGCCCTCGTTCTCCCTCCTTCTCAGCTTCTGGTTTCTGCCAGGATTGCATCTGGATCCAGTTTTATCCACTGGTCAAGCACTTGCCTATCCACCTCATATATGTGGAAATTTTGCTTGTCAGCACACAGGTATCTTGGAAACTGGTGTGTGTGTGTGTGTGTGTGTGTGTGTGTGTGTGTGTGTGTGTGTACTACTGCTGTCTGATTAGATTGGAACATTGGTCACCCTGTCCCTTAGCTCAGACCCATGTCTCCAAGGATAGCAGGAAGTTGGGAGGGAAGCCACATGGATCTGCCACTTGGTGGTTATCAGTGGGAGGGTGGGAGGGCAGGGTGACTAACAGCAGCTAACCGCAGCTAAAGTGGAATGTGGATGGGGGACAAAATTGGCTAGCTGCATCCTAAGCTGGGTGTCTCAGGAAGACAGGCATACCGACAGTCAGCAGTAGCCCTGTGGGGGATGAGCATGGGAGCCACCGGCCTGATTCGAAGCACTTCTCGGATTGTGGCCTCCAGCATGAGGAGGCACGTCCGGTCGCTGAAAGTCGGTGTGCGGCTGAAACCTATATTCTGATCAATCTCCATCTGGATCTTCTTCTTCACCTGTGGGCCAGAACAAGGTTGTATGACCATGTTGTTCAAGTCTAAGAAGATGGGCACTTTGCCCAGTGGTCACACCCAAGAAAGCTCCAGGGACGGCACCCCATCTGCCAGAAACTGGCTGGTTGGATTCTATAGGAAGGCAAGAGTGAGGAGATGCTCACCTCAGGGTGGTGCAAGAGGAAAGCCACGATCCAGCTCAGCACAGAGACGGTGGTCTCTATACCTGCCCCGAAGATGTCTGCCACCGTGGCGAGGATGTGCTCATCTGAGAACATGTTTGAGCCCTGGGCTTCACTGGTGTTATTATTGTCTGCATTCATCTTCGCTTGGATCAGAATGTCAGTCAGGTTAGAGACAGAGTCACTGTTGAATTTCTCCTGGGGTGAGAGACAAGGATGATGTGGCCGCCCCACCTCCAACATCCCTGCCAAACCAGAGACAGCAAGGCCCCTTGGACCTGTGAGTTTGTGGAGATAGGCGATAGCAATGGGTCTTCTGTGCCCTTCCAAGAACCATTCAATGTTTCACTGTTCCCACTCCCATTCTTTAATAGGTCAGCTTCTCGTAGTTACCTATTGCATTCTGCCTGCCTGCCAGGTTTCGGAGATCTCACAGGATCCAAAATGCCCCCCAGGCCTACCCCCACCCCTCCAACCCCACATTCTCCTCTGCTTTACCGCTCAATTACCTTGCAGTTTTCCAATATTTCAGTCAGTATTTCATCTCGAATTTTTACCTGTCTCTTTATCACTTCCAAGGCTTTATTGGGAAAAATCTGGAAACAGAAAGAAATGTCAAACCCATCTATCCAGCTAGGAGAATCCTTCCTTGGAGGCAGACCTTAGCTTTCTGTTTAAGGAAGTTCCCACAGCAACCTGAACCTTCTGCCAGAAAGGCAAGATGACAACAGAATGAGATTAACCATGGCCAAGAAGGACAATTTAAGACAGTGGAGGACAGGGTAGACTTCTCTTGCTTTTCCGAATCTAATTCAGCACCAAAGCCTCACAGCCATGTGCCCTCCCTCACCCATAAGACAGATGTTTGACCTCCCCCCAACCCCCCAAGGGAGGAGCAGCCCTGCTAGGCCACAGAGGAGGACATTGCAGCCAGTCCTGAAGAGACCTGATAAAACAGGGTCAGATGAAAGGGTAGGAGGTCCTCCCCTATCAGTGGACTTGGAAAGGGGCACGGAGGAGATGAGGGAGGAAGGGTGGAACTGGGAGGGAATGAGAGAGTGGGATACAGAGTTAATAAAATGTAACTAATAATAAAAATAATAATAATAATAAAAAAGACAGGCAAGCCAGGCATGCTGGCATTCATCTTTCCAACAGAGGCAGGTGGATCTCTGTGAGTATGAGGCTAGCCTGGTCTACAAAGCAAGTCCAGGACAGCCAAGGCTACACAGAGAAACCCTGTCTCAAAAACAAAACAAACAAACAAACAAAAGAGACATTCTTGAGACTGAGGACTTGGACAAGTTCCTCAGCTGGGTTAAGCCTGATTTTCTCCCGAGCACCATGACGATAATGTGACATATTTCCATACTTACAGGCTGCTTACTGCTGGCACATGACAATTGGAAAACAATAAGAGCCATGAATATTAAGATACAGGATTTAGGCAGGGCAGTGGTGGTGCTGACCTTTAATCCCAGTACTCAGGAGGCAAAGGCAGGCGGATCTCTGTGAGTTTGAGGCCAGCCTGGTCTATAGAGCAAATTCCAGTACAGCCAGGGCTACACACAGAAACCCTGTTTCAAAAAAATCTAATATCTAGTCATCTATCTATCTATGTCTATCTATCTATCTGTCTGTCTGTCTGTCTGTCTATCTATCTGTCTGTCTATCTGATAGATCAGCTTCTAGTGGTTACCTATTATGTACCAGCCACATGCCAGGTTCTGGAGACCTCACAGTGTCCAAAATGCACCCCAGGCCTGCTCTCTGACAGCTAGCTAGATATAGACATATAGACGATTTGAAAAAGAGACCCAGCAAGGTATCAAAGCACGTGCTTGCAGTCCTAGCACTTGGGACTTAGAGACAAGAGGATCAAAATTTTAAAGTTTCCAGGCATGGTTGTGCATGCCTTTAGTTCCAACACTCAGGGAGGCAGAGGCAGGCTGATCTCTGTGAGTTCGAGGCCAGCCTGGTCCACAAAACTAGGACAGTTTAGGACAGCCAAGGCTATACTTAGAAACCCTGTCTTGAAAAATCAACCAACCACAAACAAACAAACAAATAGAAATTTCAAATCCAAACAAATTAAAAAATCCAGACAAACAAAAATTCAAAGTCATTCTCAGTTACATAGGCAAGTAGGCCAGCCTGAGCTACAGAGCAGCCTTCCTTGACCCCAGTGAAGTGTCTGCAGTTTTAAGGGGCGGAACAAATGACTGTAGGATGTGTTGGACAAGAAAGATGGTGGTGGAAACTGAAAGTGCCGGGACACTGTTCCAATGGGATCTGGAAGTGGAGATGTGGCTTCATTCTCACCTGCAACCAAGGGAAAATGTCCGCCAGATTCTCGTTGCCCAAGCTATTCAGGATGCCCTCTGTAAAGGCCTTTATGGCGCTCAACTTTGGATTACTGTGCTCATAAGAGATGCTGAAGCAGAGGGAACAGATGATGTTGATGACTGACATGAAGATAGGCAGGGACAGGTCGATGGACTCCTCATTGTGTGCGAGCAACCTGTCACACAGTGAGCTGGCTTCCCGACATACTGAGGAGAGAGGAATCAATCAGCCCTTCTCACCTCTCCACCAGGGTCCATTTATCCAGGGATCAGCACAGAGAGGCGATGGCCACTAGATGGCAGCAGCCGCTAAGAAATGGCTGGACCCAGCCCCCCCAGCATCCTTTCCCAGCTCCCCAACCTTCTGTTTGCCCCAGGGCTAGCTTCTCACTCACTGATATTCTCCAGCTTCTGGTCACCATCCCTGAACAGGCCAAAGGTGCTGAGTGCTAGCTTCCGGTGCAGCTGCCAGTGCCTACCAGAATCCGCAAAGGCGATGCCTTTTCCTTGGTCCGACAAGAGGCCTAGAGTCACCTTTGGAGAGCAGGGAAGGAAGGCTGTAGGGATTAACCGCTGGGACTCTGAGGCTTCTCTCTCTACCTGGGCGCTGTGACACCCCTGCTCGCTTGTAGGGCCTAGAGCCCTGCTTACAGTTCCATGAAAAGCAGTGTACTGAGGAGACTGAAGGGACCCTGAATTTGAATGCAAGAGCCTGGGGTTCAATTCCTTAGTAGGGCACTTGCTGGGCCTCTCTTCTTGGGCTTCTTCCCTGGAGAGGCAGCTAGGAGTGGAATGAGTGAGGCATGCCTGTGCTAGGAGCAGGGAGACTGAGACTTCCCAGATAGTCCTTGCCTCGCCTTGCTTCCCCCAAGCTGCTTAAGCCACAGAATCTACACTCATTTTCTTTTCCCTTCTACTGCTGGCCTGTGCGCCAGCCTCCAACCTGCATTGGGAGACAGATTGGTTATCCTCGCAGGTTGGACATAAGCTTGAGCTATCTCCTCTGAAAGGTCACAAGGGTCTAAAGTCTCCTTCTTAAATCCCTGATTCCGAAAAAACCTACCTGGCCAGCCTTTTTTATTCTTATTGGGGTGTGGCGGTTGGGTTTGTTGTTGTTGTTGTTGGAGACAGGTTCTTCCTGTATAGCACTGGCTATCCTGGAACTCACCCTATAGACCAGGCTAGCCTCGAACTCACAGAGATCCACCTGCAGAGCTCTGCCTCCCAAATGCTAGGACTAAAGGTGCTGCCTGGTCCCTTTTATGCTTTTGCTTCTAAGAGGAACCTAAAACCTGGGGCAGCCTGGTAGTTGGGCAGCCACTCTGGACTAGCCCAAGCTCAATGAATCAGTTCTGGCTTGCTCAAAGCTAAGGCAGCTGTGCTCTGTGGGGGCGGTCAGGGGAACACCCAAGCAAGGTCATGGGAGCATGGGTAGCGTTTGTAGGATGGCTACCTAACAGTCAGCACAGTGAGATCAGAGGCCCTGAGATAATACTCTATGTCCCTGTCCCCTGTCCCCATTCCCTCGACCCCTGCGATATCCCACAGCTATCTAAGAGCCAAAGCCACAGGAACAGGGAAACTTCAGTCCTAGCCTTCCACAAGGCCAACTGCTTCTCCCGACATCTCCTCGAAGAGGATGTAGCTACCGCCCTGTTTGCCAACAAAGGTAACAGTCATGCTTCTGGAGAACATCTGCTCTGGGGGTCTGGACAAAGGGCTTTGCCTGCACATTCTAGAATGATTATCACATAATTGAGGGGAAGGTGAGTGCAGGGAGGGCTCCCCAGCTCTGCCGGTCCCTGCACCATCCTACCAGACAGCCCATTCAAAAGGTCTCCCTTTTATTTCTCCTTCCCAGTTTAGAGGTGGGGCAGGTCTTAGAGAGTGGTCCCACTAGTCTGATTTTGGAAGAACTGTACAACCCCAGGGACTGAGCAGGAAGGGAAGGAGGAAGAGGGGAAGCAGGAGAAGGAGGAGGGTTACCACTGCTTACCATTTGGGGCCGACCGGAGAATTCTTTTCCCTTCTTGACTAGCACTTCCCTGGCCAGCTGATAGTGGCCAATGATCACTGTAGTTGTGGTTCCCAGGCGAAAAGAAAAGATGGGACCATATTTTTCCTGCAGCTTGAAGAAGTTGACATGCGGGTGACCACGTCTGGGGAGAAACGGCAGGCTGCCCACCAGGGGCAAGAATGGGAGGCTCTTGGGGAACTTGGTACCAGGTGTCTTTGACTTGGGCCAAAAGAAATAGGCTATGATGAGCAGCAGGAGACCCACAAGTTCCCACATGGCAGCAGGGTGGATGTAGTTGGCTAGCTTTGAGGTGGAGCTGCGCATCTCCAGCAAGGAAGGAGGACTTTTAAAGGCGGTCCTGATTGTCACCTTGAAGTTGTGTGTTATCTCTTGGCCTGTGAAAGTTTATCTTGGAATGGGATCAAGCCTAGGGAGAGAAAAGGGAATGCCGGCCTCCTCTTGGACTGGCTCAGCTCCCTGGAGGAGGTGGCTTCCCCTCGGGCTTGCTCCTGCGTTTACGGATCCTCCCAGGGGCAAACGGTATCAGCAGGAGATCAAGGTTTCAGAGTCTGCGTGCTGTTATATCAAAAGTGCTGCATAGATAATAATGTGGTTGTACGTAGCCAAACCTGTCAGAGATATTCAGTCTCACTAATAGTTGAGGAGCTCTTTAAGGTCACTCTGTATAAGGTCACACAAGACAGTGATGACAAGAACCCAGAAGGCCCACGTTTTCATGGCTGTTCAGGTATGCAGAGCATCAGTTCAAGAGTCAGGTTTCTGTTAAAATTTAGCTTGGTCGTTTTTTATCTACATAGTCTTGAGTGGGATATATAACCTTCTCTGAAAAAAAAATCATTTTATTGTGTTACTATATATAAAACATAAGATGCATCATTTAAAATGCTTTAACTTACAAAGCGAGTCCAGGACAGCAAAGCCTACACAGAGAAACCCTGTCTCAAAAAACCAACAACAACAACAAAAGACTTTAACGAAGGGCTGGAGAGATATCTCAGCAGTTAAGTGAACTTGCTGTTCCTCCAGAAGACTCAGTTCGGTTCCCAGCACCCACACAGCAGCTCATGACTTTCTGTACTCACAGCATGCAGGAGGCAAGTACATGAGGGTCAAGCCAGCCTGTTTCATCAGGCGTGTGAGGCTACCCTGTGCTATGAGAGACTATGTCTCTTTCAACACCAACAGCAAAAAAAGTTTACATTTAGGAGCATAAAGCTTGTGCATGGTGTTACACAACTATGAACAGGAGCTACTTCTGAAACTCCCATCATTCCATGTAGTCACTGAAGCCGAGCATAAACTCTCCAGGTCCCCCCCCAGATCCCAACACCTCCAGTCAACTTCCTGCGCATGAACATGCGTACTTCTTGTTTTAGTTTGGTTGCTCTTGCTGTGATAAAGACCATCACTGAGAGCAACGTGGAGAGAAAAGGGGTTGTTTGACTTATGTAGCCCATGGCACAGTCCGCTGAGAGAAGCCAAGAAGGAAGCTGGAGGCAACAACTGAAGCAGAAACCATGGAGCAGTGACGGGCACTGGCTTACTCCACATGGCTTGCTTATCCTGCCTTCTTACAACACAGAATTATTTGTCCATCATTAACCAAGAAACTTTTCCCACAGACTTGCCTACAGAACATCCAGATGAGGCAATTTTTTAGCTGAGATTCTTTTCCCAGATGTGTCTAGGTTTATGTCAAGTTGACAAATATCGACCAGCACAACCTTGACAACTTTACATTCAAACACATCGCTATTACAACATACCCTTTCCTTTCTCGTTCATCCCCAGGATCTCATATTAATATTACAAAATTATATAAAACTGATATAACTTTTAAAAGTTCCACAGTCTTTCAAAATTTTGACATTAAAAAGTCCTAAGTTTCAGCCCAGGCATCATGGTCCATGCCAGCACTCAGGAGGCAGTGACAAGCAGATCTCTATGAGTTTGAAGCCAGGCTGGTCCATACAGTGAGAGCTCCAGGCTAGCCAACGCTACACAGTGAAACCCTGTCTCAAAAACACAAAACCAAAACCAAAACCAAACCAACAAACCAAAAAAAACGAGTCCAAAGATTCTTTAAATGTTTCATCAAAAGTCCAAATTCTCTTAACTGTGAGGTGCCCCATAAAATAAAAAATAAATTACATAACTTTTTTTACTCCAAGAGTGAAGAATCAATCAGGGCAGTCATAATCAAATCAAAGCAGAACTCAGGACCGGAAGTGTAAAGATGCCTGTATCTGTCACGCACACATTTGGGGTTCCACCTTGCATCCTGTGTTCAGGCCAGCTCCACGCCACAGCTGCTGCTGTACTTGGTGGGCATGCCACTGTTTCAAGGTATTTGACCACACTGTGACCCCAGAGATGGTGTTGCTTGCTGGAAAACCTGTGTCTGGTCTTGGTGTGGGTCAGTCCTAGCATACACCTTTAATTTAGGAGCTTTCTGCCTGGTGTTATAAACAGGAATAAACAAGGTTAACCCTAGGTCAAGAGATAGAGCAAGCAACCAGTTGAAAGGAAGTGAACATAAGGAAAAACAAACAAACAGTAAGATGAAGTCAGGAGGATGGATAGGGAGACACGCAGAAAGCAGGAGGGAAGAACTTCAGTTTTGAGGATTTTTTGAGATGGTGTGGGGAAGGAAGTGGCCTTTTTTCTTTTGGAACATTGACTGAAGAGAAAGGTCAGCTGGGTGCTTTCCCTGCCTCTTTGATCTAGCATCTAGCAGGGTTTTACCCCAGCATCTAGCTCATGAGTCTATATTGGTAGAATCAAACATTTGAGATTTTGTTAAAAAATGGTAGTTGGCACTCCAGTGTGTGGAACAAAGACATAAAAATCATGCTAGCTGCTGGCAAACTGAGAAGCCATAAGCTTTGGTTAAGTCATCTGGGAAGTCCCCAAGGAGAAAGTTAAGAATGGAAAATACCATAATACAAGGTGCTAGGTAGGACCTTATGTAATGCTACTTTAGATGGCTTGAAAATAGAAGCAGAAAATGAAAAGCTAAATGACTTAACTGAACTTGGCTCAATACCAATTATGATTAATCATTGCCATTTTGGTATTTTATATTTTATCTTTAAAAGCCATAGTGCATTTTTGTATCCTCTCAAAGAAAAAAAGATTTAGAGATACAGGAAAAAGAAAAACATGAAAAGTGGATTGATAAGCTATAAGCTTTAAAAGAACAATTAGAGAGACTTATAAATAAAAAATGAGAAAAATACTCAGACAGAGACAGAGGAATTTAGACAAGGACCTACCATGCGACTGCATGCTGAAACTGAAGAAGAGCAGCCCAGGGTTGTTAGAAAACCAACCTTAGTTTATCCAGTTACTATGCAAGACCTACCAGGAGATGATAGGCACCCCCAAGGTTATGAAGAAGTTACACATAATCTTATAGACATACTAGATTTGAGGAGAGTTAAGGAAGTAATCACTTCATATGGTGTGCATTCACCTTGTGTGAAGCAGATATTATGTTCATGGGCAACTCAGAACAGCATTATCACCCAAGACTGAATAGATTTGGCAACAACAATATTGGAAGCTGGTCCTCAGTTACAATGGCAAACATGGTGGAAAGAGGAAGCTAGGGCCACAGAACAATGGCATAAAGTTAGAGGTGTTAATATTTCCCGAGATCAGTTGCTAGATGAAGGCCAATATGCTGAGTTACAAAGGCAGTATGAATTTGATGATCGTGCCTTTGTCTTACGATGTTTAGCAGCTTTAAATACTTGGGACAGGGTTGAAGAATCAGAAAAGAGGTCTGAGTCATTTATTAAAATTATACAAAAAGAAGCCTTCAATGATTTTTTTTTTTTTTGCAAAGACCAATTTCAGCAGTAAATAGAATAGTATCAGATTCAAAAGCCAGACAAATATTAGTCAAATCTTTGGCTCTTAAAAATGCTAATTTAGAATGCAAAAGGGTAATTAGACCTTTAAAGGCAAGATCAGCATCAATAGAGGAATGGATAAGAGATAAGCTGATATGAATCTCACATTTATGATGTTATTCTGATAGGAGAAGTAATTTCTAAAAGTTTTTAAGAAAAATCAAAATGTCAGACATTTTAATTGTGGTAAACCAGTTCCTTTGAAAAGGGATTTCAGGCAAGAAAAGAAAAAAAATAATGTTTTTTTTCTAGAGCTACTCCAAAGAGAAGGCCTTAGCCTTCTGAAGAATGTAGAAGGTGTGGCAAAGGCTGACATTGGACTAATAAATGCAAATCACCAAGGGACAGGCACAGTAGACCTTTGCCATTGGAAAATGCCTTAGGGACCCTTCCACAGGTCCTGACATCAATTTTGATTTAGTTCCCTGCCAGCATCAGAGAAACTCATCCACAGAACAATTAAGAGATTTAACATCTGTTGTTAATAACGACACTTCCCTGGATGTAATCAAGGTCAGAACTGCTGTGGAATTACATTAGACTCCAGAGGGCTTCTGTACCCCAGCTAGTTCCCAAATAATCGAGACAGAAACAGCTTGGACTTATAAGAGCGTTAAAGCACGGTAACTGGGCAGGTACCAACCCTGTAAACTATTTTCCTGTTTTCCAGCGACACACCCCCTGCTTCTTGTTTTGATCGTTCCTTTCTGGTCTGCTGCTGTTCTATCAGCCCAGCCTAATGGCCACATGCCCATGGTCCATACTGCCTCATGGTGACTTCCTTCTCTCCAGCTTCCTCTCCTCATGCTATCTCTTCTGATTCTTCTCTCTCCTCCTCCAGGTCTCATGGTCCCTCTGAGACCCCAAGCCCAGGAACCTAAACTCTACCTACTTCTCTTCTGCCCAGTCACAGGCTTCAGCACTTTTATTAAACAATCAACTTTAAATTAGGTAGAGCAAAGTTTACACAACAAAAATTGGTGTACATGATGAGGATGTACTACAACCAGATCTTGGGGGCCAGTATTTACATTAGATACATAGCACCAGACCAACCCCCAATATAGACCAGCTTCAGTAGATAAAACAAAAAATTCAGGAGAGACCAGAAAAAAAATGTATTTTGGCAAATTGCTATAAATGATCAGAAACCAAAGTTAAGAATACAAATAAATGACATTGAAATTGAAGGTTTAGTAGACACAGGAGAAAATGTAACAATAATTTCACCAAATTCTTGGCATGCAGACTGGCCTCTTCAGGAGGTAAATATTCAGTTTCTAGGGATTGGAAATTTATCTCAGGTTAAAAAAAGTGCAAGGTGGTTAAGTGTATAGGCCAGAAGGACAAATAGGAAATTTAAAGCCATATGTGGCTGATACAGCAATGAATTTATGGGGATGCAATTTGTTGTAGCAATGAAAAACACGGTCCTCCAATCTCAGAAACAAACCATAAAATAAAGAATGCTTCTGAGAAAAATATTAAAAGGTATTAGGAACAGTCACAGATTGTCCAGGTTATCCAAGCAGAACACAACAGCTATTGGACTTTCCAATGCCCCACCTTGAAAATGATTAACTGACAAACCTCTGTGGTTAGGATGATGACTTATTACAGAAGAAAAATCACAGTTACAGTTGGTACAGGAGCCGCTAAATACTCAACACATTGAGGCATCCACTAGCCCATGAATTCCCCTGTGTTCATTATAACAAAAGAAATCAGGAAAACAGAGGATGTTGCCATATTTACGAGCCATAAATAAGACGATTTAGCAAATGGGCTCTTCACAGCCTGGAACCCCATTGCCTTCTTTATTACCTACGTCATGGCCTGTGATAATAGTTGATTTAAAAGCTTGCTCTTTCACAGTCTCTTTGCATGAGCATGGTAAGGAAAGGTTTGCTTTTTCAGTGCCAACTTACAATAATGGTTGATCAACAAAGAGATATCATTTGAAAGTCTTACTACAAGGATGCCAAGCAGTCCTACCTTGTGCTAATATTTTGCAGCACAGTTATTAGAAATAATTCACACACAGTTTCCTTACTCTATAATTCGCCATTATGTGGCTGGTTTAGATGCAGATACCTTAGGGAAAAAAAAATGTGTGATGAAGTAAAACAAATTTTGCCTTGCTGGGAATTACAAATTGCTCCTGAAAATATTGCAAAGAGGAGATTCTGTCAATTATCTAGGATATAAGATAAGTTTACAGAAAATGCGATCACAGAAAGTATAAGTCAGGAGAGATCAATTACAAACTCTTATTTTCAAAAATTGCTCGCAGATATTAACTGGCTATGATCCACAATTGGATTAATTACTCAGGAGCTCAGTACTTTATTTCACATCTTATAAGGTGATAAGGACTTAAATAGTACAAGAAAATTATCAGCTGAGGCTGAGAGAGAACTGGCTCTGGCAGAAAAGCACAGGCTGTACACGTGGATCGCTTGGAGCCAAAGCTGGAGTGTATTTTAGTTATTTTGCTTTCTACTCGTTCTCCCATGGGAATTCTTATACAGTAAGAATATAATATCTTATAATGAATATTTTTAGCATACAGAGTAAAAAATTTAAAACCTATGTATAAAATGTATAAAACTTAAAGTCCTATTATAAAATGTTTCTCTGTTGTTTTTTTGTTATTGTTTTGTTTTTGTTTTTATTTTTTTAGTTTGGGATAGGACCTTGGTTGAGCTTATCCACCAGAATGGAAATAATGTCTGTACAAAACCAAATGGTTGTTACTATAACTTCTGCATCACAATTAAAATCCAAACAATTAAAAAAAAAAAAAACAAACAGGCAACTCAATCAAAAACCCACTACTTCAGAATCAATAGCTTCATTGAAGCCACAGTAACACTTAAATATGACTAAGCCTCGAATGCAGAAATTTGGTTGGTTTTAAGGCTAATTAAGCCTCCAACTTGCTCAAAAAGAATTGCAAAAAGGCAAAACTGTAGTTTTCACAGAGATACAGTCCACGGCAATCAGCAGCACTGGACAGCTGTTAGGAATATTTAGAGTCCCGAGATAATAAGAGATCCTTAGACGGTCTATCTTGTCCTTTCTTCCAATCAGAGAGCTGTGGCTGTGTGGGATGACACCACCCCCAGCAACTGTAGCCTTGACCAGAGAGTCCAACTCTTCATCCCCGAGAATGGCAAGTTGAAAGTGACGAGGGGTAACACACTTTGCCTTTGAGCCTTTTGATGCATTTCCTGCCAACGCAAGTGGTACTTTGTATACAGCAGTGTTTGCACTCGCGCCTCCCGTGGCTGGTTGTTCTAGATTTCAGGTGTCAATGTTTGCAGCCAGCTCACTTCGAGTAGAGCGGGAAACCGCCTTTGTCTCGGCCTTTCTGGAGTCCTTCCCAGTCCTTTATTTTTTAATTTAAATTTATTTTTATTAATTATAGTTTATTCACTTTATATCCCAGCTGTAGCCCCCTCCACCAGCCCCTCCCAATTCCACCCTCCCTCCCTCTTCTTCTCCTATGCCCTTCCCCCAATCCACTGATAGGGGAGGTCCTCCTCCCCTTCCATCCGACCCTAGTCTATCAGGTCTGATCAGGACTGGCTGCATTGTCTTCCTCTGTAGACTGGCAAGGCTGCTCCCCCATCAAGTGGAGATGATCAAAGAGCCAGCCCCTGAGTTCCTGTCAGAGACAGTCCCTGTTCCCATTACTAGGTAAGCCTCTTGGACACTGAGCTGCCATGGGCTTCTTCTGTGCAGGGGTTCTAGGTTATCTCCATGCATGGTCCTTGTTTGGAGTATCAGTCTCACAAAAGACCCCTGGGGTCCAGATTTTTTTGGTTCTGTTGCTTTCCTTGTAGTGCTCCTGTCCCCTCCAGGTCTTTCTATCTCCCCCTTCTTTCATAAGATTCCCTGTACTCTGCCCAAAGTTTGGCTATGAGTCTCAGCATATGTTTTGATACCCTGCTGGGTAGAGTCTTTCAGAGGCCCTTTGTGGTAGGCTCCTGTTAGAAGAGGAACCCTACTCCATTGCTGGTGGCAATGTAAACTTGAACAACTACTTTGGAAATCAGTCTGGTGCTTTCTCAGACAATTAGAAATAGTGCTACCTCAAGATCCAGCTGTACCATTCCTAGGCATATATCCAAAAGATGCTCGAGTACACAACAAGGACATTTGCTCAACCATGTTCATAGCAGCTTTATTTGTAATAGCCAGAAGCTGGAAACAACCCAAATGTCCATCAATGGAGGAATGGATACAGAAATTGTGGTACACTTACACAATGGAATACAACTCAGCAATCAAAAACAAGGAAATCATGAAATTTGCAGGCAAATGGTGGGAACTAGAAAAGATCATTCTGAGTGAGGTATCCCAGAAGCAGAAAGACACACCTGGTATATACTCACGTATAAGTGGACATTAGACATATAATACAGGATAATCATACTAAAATGTATAATCTGTACACCTAAAGAAGCTAAGCAAGAAGGAGGACCCTGGGTAAGATGCTCAACCCTCATTCAGAAAGGCGAACGGGATGGATAGATATAAGAGGGAGAAAACAGGGAAAAGGACAGGCTCCTTTCCAGCCTTACCTCCAGCCATCTAGACTGTGCTGAAGCTCGGACAAGCAAGGAAGAGACGAGGCCAGGTGGACACACAGCGAGATCGCGGCACCCACTCCTCCATTGTACTAAGATTTAAACTACCTTGTTTTGGGTTTTAAAAAAAATGTTTATTTTTATGTGTACTATGAATATTTTTATGAGTATTTTCCAGCATGAGAGTAATTCATGTGCATTATACTTCTGCGAGAAAAGAGCATCAGACCTTCTGGTACTGGAGTTAGAGATAGCTGTAACCTGCCCACAGTAAGCCTGGCCTGTCCCCACCAATCATTAATCAAGAAAAGGCTCCACAGACTTGCCAATCTGATGGAGGCAGTTCCTTAATTAATATTCCCTTCTTCTCAAATATGTCTAGGTTTATGTCAAGTTGGCAATAGGAAGGAGGAAATTCACCCCAAAGTTCTGTCAACTCAGGTCCTCTGCAAGAGTGGTATATACTCAACCCACTGAGCCCTCTCCTCAGTCTAAGACCATTTTTTTTCATTGATATCACTATGAAACCCAGGATGGCCCTGTTCTTGAAATCCTCAGCTGAGATTACAGGCATGCACAACCCTGGCCTCTAATATCTGTGATTTAGAAAAAATATTTGTTTATTTTTATGTTCATTGGTGTTTTGCCTGCATGTATGTCTGTGTGAGGTACCAGACTCCTTGAACTCCTAGAAGTTTCAGGCAGTTGTGAGCTGCCTGTGGGTGCTGAGAACTGAACACGGGTCCTCTGGAGGGCTTAGCCACCAAGCCAGCTCTCCAGCTCACATGTCTAGGACTACAGGTGGAGGCACAAACCATTTGGTGTTTGTTTGCTTGCTTTTGCCTGGTTTCTCTCATGTATGAGAATTTTAATTTTTGAGAGCTGAATAATATTTAATGTCAATACACACCACATTTTATTTACTGAGGCATCACCTGACGGGCCCTTCGGATGAATTTCTGCTTTTTGCTCATTTTGAGCAATGCTGCTATGAACATTGGTGTACACATTCCTGTTTGAATCCACATTTTCATTTTTCTCAGGAGAACTCCTAGGGTATACGCTAATCTTAGATTCTCTTAACGTTTAAACAATATTTATTTTTAGTTATTTATTTGTGTGTGTGTTTGAGAGAGAGAGAGAGAAAAAGAGAGAGGGAGATTTGTCATTTAGGCCTGAAAAGGCTGGAAGAGCTCTTTAGACTCCCTAGAGCTAAATCTCAATCAAGTTAGAGGCAGTTGTGATCTACCCAACATGGATGATGGGAACTGAACTCAGATCCCTAGACATTGTAAGGTTTGTTTTTCTCCTCTGTTAAATGGGAAAAATAATGAAATCTATTTCTCAAGGTTATTGCAATTTAATAGGCTAATTAATGAATGGTAAAGCATGGTGAAACATAATAAATGCACATTTATTATTTATGCATATCATATTCTACCCAATGGACTCCTTGGATTTTATTGGTAGATTGCCCTTAAAACACAATCCTTAGCTTCTGCTGGAGAACCTCAGTTCAACCTGCATAACAATTCAATATTTTCAGAGAATTCATAGCCCTAAGGGAATGGGTATTCCTGGTGCCAGTCATCATAGAAGGTGGTTTCCTCAAACAGGAAGCCAAGCAGAATTCTGCATCATGCAATGTAGCTCAAGGTAGACTACCAACATAGCACAGATGGGGTGCTAGATTCAGTCTCCAGGGCCACAAAATAACAATAAGCTGGTGTGGTGGCACACCCTAAGTCCCAGCACTTTGGAGGCAGAGGCATGTGGATCTCTGTAAGTTCAAGGCCAGCCTGGTCTACAGAGCGAGTTCTACAGCATGGTGTTACACAGCAAGATCCTTTCTCAAAAAATCATTAACAACAACAACAGAAAAGTCATGCTGAAGTCACATAGCTTGGCACAGGCAAGGCCTTGGGTTCTACCTCCAGCACCAAATAAAAGAGTAGACCTGTCCTGGCCTCTATGATATACTCTTTAATAATGATCATAATAAACATGGAATGGGCCTCATTTAGGTACACTGTGAAATGGTATTTATTTCCAGCTCTCTGATTCAGCTGTGTTTTCTGTACTTTCCACGTGTGTCTTGTATAGTTGGTGATGCACGGGACAGTTTTACAAAATCCTCATTTCTTGCTTATGGTTGGGGTGAGCTGTCTGGAAACCATCTTGGTTTTCCCTTTAGGAGCAGAAAGCAGCCCCCACCCAAATCTCCAGCCCTGGGCCTGACATTTTTCAGTCCCACTGTCAAACTTTCAGCGATCGTTCATTATTAGGTCTAGCCAGGGCATGGGCCAGACCCACCTTTAAGGTACTACCATCACTCACTCCCTCTGCTGCAAGATGCCAATCACCTCCACTACAAGGTTGGCCTCCCAGCTTTCCATTTAAGGGCTTCTGAGGCCAGTTCAAGACAGCCATTGCATTCCTCTGTCTCACAGACACCCCTCCCCCAACATACTTCCTTGGCTCGGTCGGGGCTGGTCTCAGCACTCACACTGTTTTTCTAACCTTGCTCACTATATTGTCCAGGCTGACTTCAAGCTTCAGAGCTCAAGTTGCCCTCCAGCCTCAGCCTCCTGAGTCACTGTGACTACAGGCAAACAAACCTGGCTCCTGTATTATTTCATTTTAAAATGTGGGCACCAGGTTTACATTCTTCCCTTCTACTCTGGCCCACCCTGGTTGACGTTAGGATCAGTGGAAATAGCCAGCCAGCATTCCAGACTTATGGCTCAAAGGCTCTCCTTGTGGGGGCTGCAGAGATGGCTCAAGATGAAGAGCGCTTGTTAAGAGGACCTAGGTTCTGTTCCCAGCACCCACGTGCTGGCTCAGCCCTTTGTAATTCCTGTTCAAGGAGACCTGATGTCCTCTCCTGACCATCTAGGGACACACATGATGCATTTACATACATGCAGGCAAATACTCCTACACATAAAATAAGTTAAAAAAGACTATCCTCTGTCTCCTCAAATTCAAAGATTGTAATATTTTACTTAAGGAAATGGAAACCACTAAACTCAATCTTCCTCAAAGTTCCTGTTGTCATTTGCTTTCCTATGATCCTAAGAGTGAGGGAAGCTTTCCTAACAGTCCCTTTCAACAATTTGACACAATGATTAGTTATTGGGCATTTTTTTAGGGATAGTGTGCACTTTGCTGTTTAATCCTTAACAAAGGCTATAGGAGAAGTGATAGCTGTATTCATGACCCCCTTTACCATTAAAAAGAAATGGAGACAGGAGAGCTTAACAAAGGTCATGCAGTTGGCTGACAATGCACCAGGAAGAGACAATACAAAGCTCTTAGCTTGCTCTGTCTTCCTCCATTACGTCTTACCATCCCCCTCCTTCCCTCCCTCCCTCCCTCTCTCCTTCCCTCCCTCCTTCCCTCCCTTCTTCCTTCCTTTTGCATTTTATTCTTATTTTTTTGAACCCACAACCTCAGATCTTGTGCATGCTAGGCAAGTACTCTATTACTGAGCTATATTCCCAGCTCTGGAGTTCTTAGCTTTTAATTGCCATGCTCTTCTGCTTTTCAAAACACATGCTAGATTTTTTTTCTTATCCATGCTTTTTGAAACAATTACTCCAGTTCCAGGAACCTGTTTTGCAGAAGTTATACGGCATGACCGCAACATCAGTTATGTGATCAGTGTTGGCCATTGTCAGCAGCACACTTCCTAGTCAAAGGAGTTGGAGCACGGTGCAGCCAGTGGAGAGGAGCACTCTATCTGCTTATATGAAAATAGTGCCAGCACACACAGGTGCACACACACAGACCCACACACATACCTACATACCGGTACACACACATAAGACTTCAGCCCTTCCCTCATTTCCTTGGAGCTTATCGCTTCACACCTCTCAAAGAATGTTTGATTTGTCTTTTTTCTCCTGCATCTCGTAATTATTCTTTCTGCTTTCTTCTCCTCAGCTAGTAAAAACACTCAAAGTGCCCCCCTCATTTGGTTTAAATTGATTTGGACAAAGTATAAGTCAAACAATATTTCCTGAGGATAACGACTGTGGACTTCAAAGCTTAACATTAAATGCATTACTTCAAAGGCATTCGTTGTATTTCACAGCAGCAGCATGATAAAAGAATCCATCTAGATAGAAACAGAATCTAAGGCTAGCTAAGAATTTGAAAATCATTTACCCAGGGTCCTTATTCTGTAAAAAAACAAACAAAACGAGACTTAAAGATTAAGCAATTTGCACAAATTTACTAGCAATAAAGCTAGAAATTAAATCATTTTTCCCCTAAAATGAAGTATATCAATGCTATTTCCACTGGCTCTCTTTACTGAATGTTCAGGCTCTTCTCTTATGCTCTGTGCCATGGTAACGTGGCAATGCTGAGGCACTACAGAAAGTTGCCATGTTGGCTGTGAGGCCTGAGAGGGGCTTAGGTGTTAGCCAGGGCTCTATGGAGATGAGGAAGGTAGTGATGATAGGCCAGAAGTTCTCCCACAGGTGTCTGCTTAACATTCACAGTGACAGACTCATCCAAACTCCACCTCATGAAACCACCAAGCCGGTCACCACTTTAGCTCGACACGTTCGTAGTTTCCATAAAGATCCTGAGCAGCCTCCATGCGAGGGCTCCTGGGAAACAGGACTGAGAAGGGAGACTTCCTGTTCTCATCTTTAGGGACTTTGGTCTTTGACTTCTTCCGTATGAATTTTAATTTCAGTCATCAGACACAACAGAGCAGGTCCAAAAAATAAAAAATAAAAAAAATAAATAAATCAGGACACTGGCTTAGCACCTCATGTCCTCAAATGCTCTTCTTCCTACACAGGTGCTGTATGCCAGGTAACCCTGCCTCCTTCCACTGGCGGCTGCCTCTCCCTGTTCCCATTAATAGTGAGTAGGGTGTGGTACTTTAGCAATACACGCTGACCACCTGGCATGACTCCCTAGCAGCCCTCCCAACGCCTTCCCCAGCTATTGAAGGACTGTGCTGTGCTTCATAGCCCTGGCAGACAA